CAGTGATACCAAACAAAACAAGGTAATCGATAATTCGACCTTAACTCACCATCGTAAGGACACCGCTTTCGAGCTGCACCAAATCGTAAAACTTAGAATATAATGAATTCGACAGCAAATATTTGTTTATGCTATGCTTCTTCACGTAAGCTATATCACTTCTTCATCCATCATTACAAATCGAATCCTCACTGATTCTGCAGTGACTCTTATCTTGGAACCTCCAGTAGACAACTTCGAAAACATATTCCGTGCAAAGCTGTGGAATGAGGACTGTAACTTATTATAATCTAACTTAAATCACTACTCTTTTACTTCAGAGAATTTGGAGATCAGTATTTCTTTCCAAGATATCGTAACTATGTGATGAGATTTACACAGTTAACAATTAAATTGAAGAATTATTGAATGATAATGTTACCTTCCACGTATATGTCTATTTTCATTAATCGTTTTACTTCTAATTTAAGACTTAGTAGTACATATTTCGAGCAAAAAAAAAGTTATTAAAATGTAAAATACTTGAGTAAACGTTAATATAAGACCGGAAGTATTACTTGTAATGGAAATAATAACAGTAAAGACAGCAACAACCACCTATTATATTATACAGTGAATCTGAATTTTTAAGTTTCACAATTATTGCACGACAACTACTTCCGGTGATAAATTACAGACAGCTGTGAAGTATTTATAAGTGTGGAGAGGAAAACAGCATGGCAGTTAATACGAATGAGCAATGAAATTTCTGTTGCTTACAATATATTGATTAAATGACAACGTGATGAAACCAAGATGAATGCGAACATTTATTCCTTGTATTTTCAACCCCTGAATATTTCAGCATTTATATGTGTGACATCAAAACATATTCAAAAACAAACAAACATTGATAAATCATTAAGTCAGTTACTATGAAAAACCAAATAAACTGCTCGCATAAGCCATCGGCCTTACCTGAAAATAATTCATTTACGATGCGATGGCTCGTGATTTCTTAAAGTATAAAAATTTCGCTTCCATTATGATCAACACCCAATAAAACTCAATTATGATGCCTTAATGCAATATGGAACAGAAAATAACAGCTATATCTGATTTATCGACTAGAAAAAATGGGGATGAATGAATGCTTTCAAATGATCGTAAAATGATAAAATCTGCAAGCTAAAATCCAAAAAAAATTAAAAAACAGCTAAGAATAAGGTGCGGATAATTGAACTATAGATTTGTTGCTTCGAGACTGTCATACTGATCAACTTAGTCGGCACAGTCGGTAAAAAGTAATTCAGGTTCATAATAATTACAAAACTTCACTTCTCATGAAACAATGATTACGGCGACGACCTCCTTTTTGGCTGCTCTATTCATCCAAATGTACTTGGTAGTTTTCAAACAACCAATTCAAAACAGCTCAGAACAAATCTAAAATTACTTACTGAAGGATGATCGACTGCAGTGAAGGAAGTGAAACGAGGCGTTAAATTATCACCTCTTATTGTTATAAATGCTCCTTTATTTCCCATAGTATCACTAAAAAAATTATGATAAAGAAGCTTGTATAAACCAATTTAAAAAGGAAAGTTTAAATGCAAAAAATAAAACTTAAATTCCACGAGAAATAACAAAAGATACCAATAATTTGGTGCACTGAATACGGTGATACATTTACCATCATGATGAAGTTCGTATCCTTCCGGTTTCACTTCATGACTCCTGGAAAAAAATGAAATCTCGAAAAATTGCAAAAAATGCAAAAAGCTTACAGAGTAGTAAAAAAATGATGTGGTAAACACACAATGAAATGTTTTAAACTTTGATCAGATGTCTTCACGAATATTTCATGGACCGCTAAAAAATTCACATAGAATTATGAAAAAATAGTACCTTATAACATAATCGAGACCATTTGCCTCACAAAACTTATGTGTCACGTCAGGACCAAACTGGCAACCAACTCCACGTTTCGATGCTGACCTACCATCTATATCTTGGGGATCAGACCATAGCAAATCACACATTATACCTAAAATAATTGTTAATCCAGCTAAAAATATTTCAAATTTATTTTCTTATAAAAAAAAAATCTTTTAAACCTCAAATTCAAAATTCTTGTACCATAATCAGAACATAGTCCGATTATATATCGTACTGCATCTTTTAACCATATAATCTTCTTAAGAGAAGAGAATTATACGGTTAGAATTTTATCGTTAAATCATATGATTCAAGAAACATTAATTTGATGACAAATATCACAATGACATAAAAAAGATTGTTTCCAAATTAATCATGGAGAACTAACCATCATCCGGTGGTTGACGAACCCGATTTGTTTTTTTTATATCGTTCATAGTGACGTTATCATCTTTGAACAAACCTCCATGGCAAACCTCAATTTAATTCAAACACTAATTATTGAAAATAAAACAAAAAAATTGAAATATTAATGAAAATAAGATTAAAAACAATTTACAATAACTATAGTACCTCATTTCTTCATATATAATAAATAGCTTTGCATGATTAAACAAAATAATTTAAAATATTTTGCTGCAAAGGAAAAATACACATCCACCTCCATATTAATTAACTAGTAAACTAATTTTTTAATATTACTAAGATAAGAGAGGAGGAATTAAAATCTCCAAATCTCTTTAGCAAATTTTACTAAAATGTTTATTTTTGAGATCACTTAAGACGAAAGCAATAATTGTTACGTGTAAATGAGAAAAAGAGAGCATTATTGGACTGCATCAAAAAAATGATTCTAAAAATAATTTACTGTTCCCGTTATTAATAAGACAATTAGCTTGACTACAGCTAAGTGCAAAGAGATATACAAGAATTTTAAAAAAATTCGAGAACAATCCCTGAAATATATTTGATTGGAATTCACTTACAAATATTTTATTATTAATTAAGTGACAAAGCGGTAAGTAATCAAAGATCTCCGTAAAGAAATCTGCCATATGACTTGTATATTTGCTCTTCACTTCACCTTCAAAACCATACATTTTGTTCATTACATCACTTTCGTGATTACCTATAAAAGTTATTCAGTAATAAAAACCATAAAAAACAAGGTATAAGTTTTTTGTTTTCGATTTCATCCTTCGATTCCAACTATTAAAACAATACATCACTTGCACTGTTTTAATAGTTGAAAACAAATTTTCATAGTTGGAAAAAGTATCGATTTTTTTTCTCTTCTTTATGTCAGTGCTTCCATCTGAAATGAAGCTATATTCTAATTTTTAATAATGAAAAAGGAATTTAATAGAATACAGCAAACCTCGTGACATGAAGAAATGCTCTGGATATAAAAGTTTAAATCCAAATAAAGTAAATATCGTTTCAACTGAGAATGAGCCACGATCAACAAAATCACCATTGAAGAGCTAAAAAAATGTTTTCGCTTTTCATTAACGGAATAATTCGTTCAATTTGGGTATAAAACCTACATATGGATTTGTTTCTGAAGGTAGTCCATTTAAATCAAACACATTGCATAGATCATAGAACTGTCCATGAATATCACCACAAATAGTAAATTTCTTCCCCGGTGGTACTGTGATTTCTACAAGTGTCGGTAATTCACCAAACATTCGCCTAATTTCCAAAAGTATCTGAAAACAAAAATTACATACTGGAACATCAAAATATTTACGGAAATCTATCAACTGATATGAACTGAAAAGAGGAGAAGATACATCTTGGACATAATTTAGGAAAGAAGTACATAAATTCTGAGAGTGAATGAAACAAATCCACATATCTTAAACGGAATCTGAAAAAAAATCCACTTATTCCAAAAAGGATTTAATAATCTGCTGAGCAAGTTCTCACGATACAGGCTTATAAATCTTAAATAAATTAGAATGATAAATATGGAAATCAAAATTCGTTAGTAAGTGTTCATTCAACAAAACGAAACCTTATAAGCGTATTTTCTGTGCAGTTTCTTTTCTGCTTTAAACGTTTCAATTAATTGCTTCATAAATTCTAACGTAATATCATCCTCAAGAATGGGCCCGTCATATGTTGCTTCTACTTCTGAAATGAAAAAAGAAAGTTCATATTTTCTTCTGTATATTGAATCTTTTGAAATTGTTTAAACTATCTGAGCTTCAGTTTAAACTATTCTGCAACAGTTTTCGATTTCATGCGGTTACATTAATTTATTTTTTAAGCAGAAAAAAAAGAAACCAATTGTATCAATATTTATAGATTCCGCGATGCTGCGTTTGTCATGATCCACTGATATTGCTTTCTCAAATGCTATCTTTCGCATCAACTTTTGGCATTCATCATATTTCCGTTTAGCGTCAGTATTGTTTGGTAATGTTTTACGTACCTCCAATAATTACCACAATAGAACAGAATTACTTTTATCCATATTAAAAGTGATTCTGTTTCATGAATAAAAGTGAAATTAACATCAATTTTTTTACTATTGTCGTCTAGTACTTTTCTGTTATAAAAAACTTCACTACCGCTTGAATACTTTTCGTATTGGTCAAATGAGATGAAGACAGTAGCAAATACGAAAAATACTGAAGTAAGATGGTTAGAACTCAGTTTTTTCTCTACTTTCTAATCTATAACTTGAATCTATTCAATTATCATATTTGATAAAAAAAACAGAATGGTAACAGCCAATTCATTGTTTTTGCTACCACCAATTATTCTGATTAATTCTTCTAGAAATGCATTTTAAAAGTCCTATTTTATTTCATAGTCCACTCATGACTACACATATCAAATATGATATTAGGTTAAACTGAAGAAGCAAACATTCATATTAGTTGAACAGAGAAATCTTTCATTATAAATCATTCAGACTTTACGATTCCAGACTTCTTACATTACCACCACCATAGTATTAAATAAAAAGCAAATTTTCAACGATGAAAAGATACCGTATCATAATCCTTTAAAGCAAGTTTCAATTTTCCTAAAGCCATATAAGCTGTCGCACGCCTATAATAACCCTTGGTGTAACCAGGATCCAGTTTCAAGGCCACATTTGCATCCTCTAACGCGCTACCATATAATTCTTTCTTCAAGTAAGCCATACTGCGATTGCCATAAAATAAGGCTTGCTGATCATCCAGTTCGATTGCTTTCGTATATAATTCAATGGCAACATCGTATGCTTGATCTGTAATGATGGCATTGATCACATGTATACTAATAAAACAGATAAAAACGAACTTTATGTTAAAAATTATTCATCATTAATTATATTCATTTATATATAATTTAATAGTAATATAATAGTCTAACTACTGATATTATTCAAGTATTATTACATAATATGCAAGAACAACATTAAGTATAATCTGACAAAATAGAAAAAAAAAATTACTGCACGATATATGTATATGGTAGTTTTTTAATTAAATGATTAACGTTGATTACGAAAGTTGAAAAAATAAATTACCATGAAAAAATTGATTAGCTTCATCCTTAATTTTCAAAGCTCGCTGAGCTAAATTAGTTATTCCATCGACGTTTTCCAAGATAGTGGAGACAACATGTTCAGATGTCATTCCTGCAGTAAGCGTTGCCTAGGACATATATTCATATATTGTATAGATTACATTTTAAATATTAACATTCTTAAATAGAATAAACGTCGAAAAATATTTTTAAAATAATACTGCATCACGAGATGCTGTTTTTTTCAAGTTATTTTGCTATGAAATGATCTGAAAATTTAACCTTTTGATCAGTTGCCTAATTTAAGCTACCTCAGTAATATTATCCATTCCACTCATCTATCAAAAATATAATACAGCAGAATTTCTCTATCTCCTATATGAATATTTTCATTAATATATCACATAATCAATCGTCATTTATATCTACATCATTGGAGAATTGTACTATATATGATAAGTATAAGGAATCGCTTCTCAATATTTACAATATTGGAATGGATGGATTTAAAAATTATTCCTAGAAATTTCATATTAATTTTTTTTTAAAATATGCCACAATCCAATTTATTAATTAACTCAAGAAATATCTATAAGAAGAGAAACATCTCACAGATATCTGATATATAAAACTTTAAAAGATAAGAATAAAAAAGTTTATAGAGTGAAACATTTAATAGTTCACATTGGAGTGCTTCATCCTTCATATTCCTGTACTTCAACTAACGAATATGCATGATACTAACAAATTAACTCCTTCACAAACTCCTAAGCCTTCTGAACCATTCAAAAGTAATACTAGTTACGAAACTAAAAACTGAAACATTTTAATATTCACGTATGTAAATCTAAACAAAATAAATGAAAGCAAAAAGTTATGCTCTATTACGATCATTCTCATACACTTCCTGCAATGTAAATAATAAATGCACACAGTAATAACAAGATTTCTCACTCACTTATATGCAATTTCAAGAGCACTTATGAATAATATTTAATAGTAATATCGAAATCAGCACTTATTTGTGATTAGTACTTGCTTACATACTTCATAATTTGAACGATATTATTTCATCTCATTCTTCAGATAATTTTATTTTTTCCCTTAATTTTTCTCTTCATTTAAATGTAAGAAAAAAATTCTTAAATACGGCACAATCCCGATGTCGCATTCATGAATTACTTATTTTCCTCATCAAATTACAAACGACTATTCCTATCAATTTTGAAAAAATGATAAGATGATCAGGCCTTCCCGATGATTTCATCAACGAACCAAACGAAAAGTAATTTGAGGAAAAGTTCACGACAGTCTGCTTGGTAAGATTACACAATCCCATGATGCAACAGCAATAATTTGAATTCGAGGAAACACAGAAAGCTGGAATGCATCCTTTTTATACAGCATGGAAAATCACATCAACGGATAAATTTTATTTCCTATTAATGTAACCTTTTAAACTGACACAAACATTATCAATAAAATCATCAGAAATCAGATTTATTTTGTCAAGACCAATGAATCGGATCCAAAAGATAGCTTAAATTGCCATTATTTATCGCAAACACAAATGAGCTTAATTCTTTTCCAAAAAATTGTTGCGAACACTGATTGAGATAAGAGAAATGAATGCTTATGGTAAATTGCTCAACTTCTAACATATAACAATACTGTCTACCACAATTTTCAGACTTTTTATATGTCGCATAAATAGAGCAACTTTATATGAGTTTCCTACAAGATTTTTACACAATTCACACTTAATCTATCAGAAAATATAATGACAATTAAAAAATTAGCATGATTTGTGCCGAATTCCAAAAAAAATAACTTGCACGGAGACATGAATTTTGCTCAGAATCCTAAACAGTTCAATTCGTCACATAATTCAGAAAAAGCAATTATTCCGTCAGCAAAATTACGCATCAATTATTTCCTGTTTTCCAGATATAAGGCATTCAATGCGTGCAGTGAGAGTACGTATTTGACGTCTTAGTTGTTTCCGATCCTTCCTACAAGTCAGCAAAATAGATAATATCGTAATGTCTCATTTCTGTTCAAATTTCTGAGAAATTTTTGAAAAATCTTTGATTACCTGTGTTCATTTCGTTCTTTCACTAAACGATTCATCAGAATTTCACATTCAGATTTCAACGTTTCTATGAAATCCTGTTGCTGCTCCAGAAGCTTTTTCGATTCTGAAAAATCATCGTGCAAAAAAAAGGAAAATTCAAGAAAGTGCAGAATACTATGAGATGAAATATGTGAAATCAAGTATTAAATTTCATAGTTTGTCTTCTTATCAACTCTTCAAGTTTCTGTTCTTTTTCTCACCTTCTTCTTACACCCAAATAAGTCAGGTAAAATTATTCTGCAAAGAAGACCCACATTGTGTTATTAATAATTCTGGTACCTCAGATATATTTGGGGAAATGTTTTAATGTCTCCTTTAAACTTCAAAATCTTCTTTATAATGAGGAAATTTTTTTCCAGATTTTATGCTTCCTAATAATCTGCAATCGAAGGAAATTTTTTCATACTTCGCATTGAAGAAATTAAACTTTACTAACGTGGTGATAATTCATTTGCACCCAAGGCAATAAGCGAAGTGCGTAATGTCATATTTTCATCGGCTAAAACAGATAGTCTTGTTGAAAGTACTTTATCTTCTTCATCTCGCTTTGCCAATTCTTGTGCAGTAGCTTTCGTAAGATCATTTACAAGCTTTTCTTTAGCAGCAATCGAATCCTTCAGCATTTTCAATTGTGCCTGAAAACATGCGGATAATGAATGCTAAGAATGTTTCCATGAACCTAATTTACAACTCAAAAAGAATAGAAAATAAATAAGTGTATTTCAGCTTTTTTTACTTCCGAATAATTAAATGAAATATTTCACAAGCAACGTTAACAAACAAAAAACGTGCAACATGAAGCATAAAATCTTTGAAACTATATGTATTGATTAAAAACTCAGTTGATAGCTGCTAAAAAGACAAGCAAAAATGTCTATAGACTATTTGAACAATGGAAAGTTTACCTTCATAGTATTATTTTCTGCATTCAAGCTATCACATTCTCGCGTTTTATCAATCAAAAGATCATTTAGCTTTGAAAATTCATTATTTCTTGTTTCACGTTCTTTTTCCATAAGTTCATTCAATTGGTCAATGTGAATCTGAAAGGCTTTGTTCTACTTTCAATATGCAATTTATCAAGGTACAATATTATTTAATAAATAATTATATATATATTTCATTCAACTTCTGGTTGTCAAAGTCATAATGCTTTCTATTGTACTCGTAAGAAAAATACGGGTTAACTGGTTGGTAAGAGTAAAATAAACTTAGTAAAAGCAAAACAAACCTGTTTTAATGAATCCGTCTCAATTGCATGGGATAATTCTGTTTTTTTAACTTCCAGTTCTTGTGACAAATTCTCTGCTTTGAGGCATGCCATTTTTATCTCCTCCAAAAAATCTTTTAATATTAATGATTTCTCACTTCCATCAGGTAACACTTCTCCAATGTTCGAAACTTCTTTGAGAAAATTCACTGCAGATGCTTGCTCCTGCAAATAATTGCAATTCATAACTGCTTTATTTCCGCAAAAATTGGATGTGAGAGAAAACCACAAACTCCTCATAAAACTAACTTTGAGATACTAGTTTTAATTCTACTTTATTAGCTTTAAATTGGAAATAATCAAAATCAGAATACTTACATGAAATTTACCTTATCTTGCATATCATTACCGATGATTTGCTGGCAACTTCTGTTTCGAAGGATAAGCACTTCCGATTTACAGGTCTCCAATTCAGCAAGCAATGCTGACAGTACCTTATTTTGTTTCTCCAGTAACTCTGATAGCTCCAAAACACTGGGACTGATATTAACCACATCTGTAAGAAAGAATGAATCTTCCATTCTTCAGAATGGAGTTAAATTTTAGAGATGATCTAGGATGATATAGTTCAAAGTAAACTACATCCAGATCATCCTTAGAATTTAATCGAAATAATTTATGTACATGAAACCACGACAATGACGGATGTGAAAGTAAAGCAAAAAGATAACACTACCACCATTCTATACCAACAAAAATCACAACATAAACTTCTTAAGTACAATCTGAAAATATTTCACAAAACATATACAAATTAAAAAATTTTTTGAGAAACTTAACCCATGCATTCATACAAAGCTTACCTGTTATACTGTCACTTTCAGTCATTCGTAGTTCCGAAAAAAAAATTTAGGATGGTATTTTTTTCAATAAAAATTAGCAAATGACCTTGAAAAGCATACATGAAAATAACAACTAAATAGCAGTTAAAACTAAACAATCATTACTGAGTAGCAATTCGAACTAGATATGTACGATAATATGTAGAGATACATTTATCATTTTATCCATTTATATTAGAATGATGCAAAAGTAACAGCAGTTCGTGACCTCACATTTGCAGCCATTACAACCAGAAAACATTCCTATTAATAAAAACCTAAAAAATTATATACATATATATAATTTTTATCAACCCAAAATAAGTTTGTTTATTCCTGTGTCATAGAAACGCACGCTTCTGGATTCGCAAATTCTTGGAAAAATTCTCTACACTTTACTGCTGCTAAAAAGCTTGTTAAAGAGCATTAATAGTGAATAGATGATAATCACAGGGAATGTAGCGTGAAATAGTCAAATTCATTCAATATTGAAAACGCTTATACTCTAATGTCTAGTCAGCTGTTGTGTAGAATCAGTCCCTTCCGGCTGACCAATAAAAATCTAAAAGCATTGCAATTTAAGACGCTTATCGATTTCCCAAAAATATTTCTTAACAGTTTTCGTCGAGATTTCAAAACCTCAATAGTAGATCATCAAATAATAGCATTCATTTCAATGGTTACTTTGCGAAACAAAGTCTTGCCTAAAAAACTATTCTTGGAAAAAACCGATAAGTTAATCTACTTCTAATCACATGCCACAATCCAACCGAGAAACTTGCTCATCAATATTGCACAGAATAAGATAGTCGGAATAAGTTTAATTGATCATTCCCAACTTCTAGTCACTAATATTTCTCATTTTTAATCTTTTGTCACCGTTATTGCTCAAAACTTCTTACCAAATGCTGCATTGCAGCAGTGTAATTCATAAACAATGTTGCTGATATTGCAAATTGTCATAAATGTTTACAAATATCTTATAATCAAAATCACTTAAAGTTGCATTTCGTTTAATGTTACTTCCTCAGTATAAAATAAATAACATGAAATAATCATCGATAAAAAAAAGCAAACATGAAAACGAATAGCAGTATTAATTGCTATATGCATTTGAGAATGTGTCCCAATATGAGATAGCGTAATTCAATAATGGATTGTAAACAAACTTATCACTTTTGGATCAGCCTAATGTTATTCCTTGGCACAGTTTCCAATGGACCTTCCGTCTACTGATGCCTCAACATAATTTTTACTGACACATGAAATGAAAATCTAACCAATAAATGAAAATAAAATGTTTAAAGGCTTCTGCCTCCAACATTTCAGGATGAACTCTTCTTTGCCCTTTGAAGTTGACCTTTGATTCTCGCAACAACCACTCTAAAGATGAAGCAACAATACCCTCCCAATCATGTTGACGAAAATAGGACTCTTCCAATCAGATGCTGACAAATTACTTACTGTGGTATTACTCTCACCCTTGTACAACACGTGATACCAGTAATACCAAAACATTGCAAAACTCTCAAATTAATTCATTCAAACTGTGAACAGAAAAAATAATCGAAATAAAACTTTCTGGATATCAACCAAACTCTAATTTATGAAAATTAGGAATTTTTGAAAGTTGCTTTGCAACAAATGATATTTTTATTCAATCACAAAGAGTTACCTTTTTTATAGCATAAAAAAAAGAATAAGAAACACAAAGAAGAGACAATGAATAAACATATAGAGAACCTAAAAGAGAAAAGAACAAGTGAATTTTGAAAAAATTTTGAAGTATTTTACTTAAAAAAAATGGAAAGATGTTTGTAAATGAATTATGTGTAAAAAATATATAAGATTAAAAGAAATTGTAAAAAAATCACGCAGATGCAATGAATCATTCATATGCTGTGCAAGTAGAAAGCGTCACGTGAATACGGCAAAATATTTATACATAATGCCCTTACAAAAAATCACGTAGATACAAAAAGCCAATTATAACTAAGACTGTACGGGAGAATTCAATCAGTGAGTGTGATAAATCACTTTCACGATATGTCTCTGAGATAGGACAGAGATAAAACCAAGAGCTGTTAATAAGGAACATGGTGAATGGATAAAAACACATCCACGATTTCACAGTCATTCGAGAAACATTGCATATTGCTAAAGAAACCACCAAATTTCATCCAAAAAACCATTAAAAGTTTGGAGAACAGATAAAATGACATCATTATTCTGTCCACGAAATAATATCGGCAATAAACTATCAAATTCTTTTCATATCACATTATATGCCATTCAATTGTTCAGCAAATTAGTAAGAAAATCTAAGCAATGTAAAATATTGACTCGTGAAAAAAGAGAGGAGATATTACGGAATGCGAAGCGAATCTGTTACGTGAAGAAAAAGCTTAAGCTTCGAAAGGACGATTAGTTCGAATCATAATGCATTATTCACTATCAAACATCGTCAAGATCTAACTTTTCAAAGTTCAGAAATTCTTTTCAAAAAAAGGCAAATAACAAGCCATTCGAGAATTAAACATCAGAGTGTTAAAATTCCAATGCTCAACACATCAGCTTGTGTATGACTAAAAATCCAGTACAAATTCTGTGGACTAATGGGTTCGCCGCAATACATTTTGCATCTTAATTTATATCGCTTCAAACCACTAACCTTTTGCATTTAGGAACGACAAAACCTAAAACAGTAATAACATGTGCTTCCAAAAACTGAATGAGAGCATAACTATGACGATTAAAAACTGAAAATTTTGGAAATATTAAAACTGATATCGAAGATTCAGTAAAAATATAATGATAGTTCTAGAAGAGGAAAAAATTCACCATTATGGAACCATTGAAAAGAAACATACGACTAGCACCTTTAAGAAACATAATCGATATAATTTATTCCTTTTGTGTTTTCAGTTTAAGAAGAAGAGTCCTTAGTCGTGATAAATCGCTTGACGTTTTCGAATTTTTAGCACTGAATTCGCATAATTTAGCAATGCGTTCCCATTCCGCTCCATCTTTCAAGGACTCACGATCAGAAATAAAATCTTCTTCAGCTTTCCTTAAAATTTAACGAAATCCACAACAACAAACGATAATATATAAGGCGCAAAAAAACTTTTATTAATAATCTATATACTGCATACTACGCAAAAATTTTCTTGTCCCTTGCCCTTTTGATTAAAAATTTTATTCTTCTGAATTCTCAGGATGAGCAAGATATTCAGTAGGATAAATATTATCAAAAATGTTGATACCACAAAAAGAAAAAAAATTCAATTCAAAAATAAATAAGCTTTTTTTCTTCTCTTTTCCGATTTTCAAAATTTAAACAATTTGTTTGCTTCATTATTACACTTTTGAGAAAAGCAAAATCATTATTTACATCTTACTCATTAATCACAGCACAATACGCGACTTCTTGGATCACCGAGAATACACAGCGCTAGCCTATCACGGTTTTGCTTTCCGGTTTAAGATACAAGTTTTTCTGATTTCAATATAAATGCAACTTTGTTTATTTTCAGAAATTCATCTTTGCTCATATTATCTACCTATAAAAAGAAAATGAAGTACAAAATTTTGAAAAAAGAATCACCGATTAGCTGCTCTAGTTTTTGCAAGCCTTTCTGCCCTTTGCGCATACCATTCTTCTAATTCTTTTTTACCTGCGGCTCTCATTTCCTCTTTCTTTTTCTCTTC